GTAAAGGAAAAGGTAAAAAGAAAAACCATAGCATAAGTTTTGCTCAGCTAAAATCAAAATTAGAGGATATTCATTCTGGATAACAAATGCTTGAATATTTTAAAGTACTGAGAGACGTGAAACTTACTTGAGCATTTCTGCAAAACTCATAGCCTCATCAATTCCTGGGATAGAATTCGTTAAATCCGACATAAACCCATCAGTATCCGAACCACCACTCTCATCATTTTCCACATTAGGGTCAACTTCCTACATGATGGAGTCTTTCAATACTCATTTAAAACAAAGCAATTTCACATATACTGAGCTACTAGTACCCAAGTCAGAACATAGACAAATTTAAATTTTCTCAAACTCAGAGAAGTGTCCCATCTAAACCTCAACTCTCTAGAACCCATTCACCCACAAGCATGGACAACCACCATAAACAAAAAGTAAAGCAGGACAACATAGTTCTCATTGCTTTTAACCTTTTTCTAATCAGTGAACACCAATCCTTTCAAAAGCTAAAAGATTACATTCAGCTTGATGCAAGTATAACTCAAAAAATCTTGACAGTCAGGATCGCAGGAAAAGACAACACCATCATAAGAGTCTGTGAAAGGGAACTCGACTGACAGAATAGATGGTAACTCACAATATAACCCATCAAACCGAAAGAAGTTTTCAATGATAGCTTGAGATGACAATTATACTTAAAGCTAGTAGATTCAATTCTACCCTCGTGGACACGACCCTCATGAAGGGTTCAAGCCAACGATCACATACACTCGTTAGAGTGAAATTCACCGTGAAAGCCCATCTTAAAAGTATTAAGAACAAGAAAGCTACTGAAATCCAGAGTACATCCAGAGTACACGCCATAGAAACTCATTCCATAAGAGAAAAATAATAGGATTAAAGGACTCAAATTACACAGCCCTTCACATTGAAAACATTAAAAACACCCATACACATATTCGTATCCTCAAACCAAACCATCACAATCCAACAGCAACTCAATTAACAACAAAGACAAACAATGAAATAAATAATTTCCCAATTTCCTCACCATGGCGTACAAATTTGAAAACCCGGTGACAAGAGTAGGATTCTTCGTGAACCTCTGCTGGAAGGCATCGCTGAGGTTGTGGGCGGGGTCGGTGGATATGATGAGCACCGAAGGTCGCACGCTCGCGAGCAGGATGGCTAGGATCGAGCTGCACGTCGTCTTGCCGACGCCGCCCTTGCCGCCGACGAACACCCACTTGAGCGTCTCCTGATCCATGATGTTCTGCACGGTCCCCTCGGGCGGTTCTTCGCCGTGATCCATCGATCCCAAATGTCGTCAGCCGGCGCCGGATTTAGGCGTTCGCCGCCAGTCTTTGCGGACAAATCGTTCGTTGGATTCGCCTATTATTTCGTGATATTCTGGGTTTTCCCGGTGGCACTTGCCGGTGTTCTCCTAGTTTGCGTCGCAAGATTAATAAATATTTATTTATTATTTATTCATTTCCCTTCGAATTGGGTAAATTGGGTGCCATGCCATCAACAACGAACACGAAGTCACGAAGGTTGCTTGTTCAGGCAAAATATCATATAATACTTACGTTAAATAATAAGTATTTTTCAAATTACTATGCAAAATAATTATCTCAAGAATAAAAATCATAATCTTTTATAACATTTATTTTTCAGATTAGAAAATTAACAAAAAAATATAGTGGTGTTTTATGAGTCTGAAAGATAAAAAAAAAACTTTCAATTATGTGTCTGAAAGATTAAATTTATTGACCAAGGGCTCGAAATATTTTAAACTACCAATTTAAGAATTTGAATATAATTGTAAAAATATAAATAAAAAACAAACCATTTATAAAAACTTAAAATTATATAAAAAATTATGAGCACAATTTTGTATATCTTATCAGGTTATAAAAATCATAAAACTTATAAACAAAAATTTTGCAATATCAATCATTATTTAAAAAAAAAAAAACTAACTTTTTTACAAATTTAACAAGTTTTTTCCGCCAATATCAGTGAATGTATCCTATATATAGTAATTGCTGGTCAATTTTGAATAGGCAAAAAAATCGGTTTGTGTATATATCTGTTTTTTTTTTCCTCGTTATTTGGTACTAAAAAACGGCCAGTATATATCTGTTTTTCTTTTTCCTGTTTTTTTGGTACTCAAAACCGCCCGCCGCTGACAGTATATGGCCTTGTTTGGTAATCAGCGGTTAGCTGTTAGCTGTTAGCTGATTGCATTAGCTGTTTTGTCCAACTGATTGTGTTAGCTGTTTTAACCAGCTGATTGTGTTAGCGGTTTGTAAAAAAGTATGGTAAAATGAGCTGTTTTAATTAGCTGTTAACATGTAATTATTTTAGAAATAAAAATAATTAATATTTTAAATATTTATTGAAGTGATCTAAATTTAATAAAATAAATAAATAATAATAAATTGAAAATATTTTTAATCGTGTAAATAAGTTCACGTCATATAAACAAAGCCAATAACAAGTCGGTCGTGTATTTTTTTGGTTTTACTTTGTTTTTGGTGTGCAGGTCGGAAGTCCCGTGAGGAATAGATTTAGCCCGAAAATTAAATGAGCAATCATGGTTGAGTAGAAGGGTTCGTTGGCGACATTTAGGAAGAAGCAAAACTCAATTTCGAGTTTAGACGAGTTCGAGCGGGCCCCAAAGGCAAAAAGGCGCGAAACACGTTTAGTGTGTAGGTCAAGGGCTTTGGGAGAATATGACTTCAATAATAATTTGGATATTCAAGTATCATTAAATAGAGGACTTCATTGGTGACACGTAGGAAAAAACAGAATCAAATTCCAAGTTCGGACAAGTCCAAACGAGCTCGAGAAGTGAAGTCGTGCATGGAAGCCATTATAGGGGTTCTAATTTAAAAGAATTTTAGATGAACATACCTCTTGTGGAACTAATTTTTCACAATTATGCAAATGATTCCATAGTTGATACAAAAATGTTGTAAAATCTGAGAAGCGAATTGGATAGAGGATTCAAGGTTTGGGTTCTGTACAAACTGAGGTGATCAATGTATACGCCGGTTAGGAGGGAGAAAAAAAGGGCAATTAAAACTTTTATTTGTTATTATCTCAAACGCTAAACCAAAATGCTCCGAATAGCAGTGTATCTGATTTTAGCGGATGGACCCAAAACGCTGATCTGAAAAGTTGTTTACCAAACAATAATTTTAGCGGATTAAAATGGTCAAAACAGCTAACTGGCTTAAAAGCTATTTTTGAGGCAAAACGCCATTAACCAAACGAGGCCTATATCTATTTTTCTTTTTCCTGTTTTTTGTACTCAAAACCGCCGGTAACAATAAATATTTGTATTTCTTTTACCTGTTTTTATGGTAAAACCATTTGGTATCATTTGAATGTCTTTATTAAATTAGGCTTATAATATTTTAGATATTTTAAAAAAATTGTTTAGACTTTTTTACATATTCGTCTATATATACATATATATATATATATACACACACATATACATAATTGATGTTAAATTTAAATATTTGTATACATGTTTTCTCTACAAAACAGTCTAAAAAAATCTTTTTTACATAATGTTAAATTCAAATGTCTTTAGATATATTTTCCTTCTAAAATTGTTTAGAAAAGTTGTAGGTGACTTCACATCTTGCAAAAATAATATAGAAAATTTTGAATACTTTTACATATACTAATATAACATTTTAGGTATTTTAATATTAAATATCTAAATTTTATATTCTCTTATACAAAATAATGCAAATTTTATTTTCTCTTATACAAAATAATTTTACATTGTTTGACCCCGAATCTTTAATTTATAATTATTAAGTATTGTTTATCCTCCTCTTTAATTTATAATTTTTTTTTCTTCCTCTTTTTAAATAGAATCAATAGTAATTTTCACTTAGTAACTCAAACTCGAGGTCTATTTATAGTATTGTAGATTTAATATTGTTTTCGTGCATCGCTCGGGTACACACTAGTTAATAAGAAAATAGAAGCCATGATTAACCTTTTAGGTGTTTACTTTTCAACTGATAAATTCAAATCATTTGGGTCATAAATTAATAGATTTTATTTTTTTGTTGATATTCAATTAGGCTCTACTAATATCAATGTTACACGTGAATATGTATTAAATTATTTGTCTTATTTGATCTTTTTAGTATTAGGGCCCGAAAATAAAGATAAAGATCCACCTGTGATAAATATATCATGGACATAGGAGGGATAGGTTTGGAGGGATTTCATTTTTTTCTTCTTATCTGAATCACGGCACCGCCTCAATTCTCTATTCCTCATAGATACTATACCTTCATGTAAAGAAAACAAGAGGAGGAAGGATTGAGTTCCATCTTCCATTTTTTTTTTTTTATATTCTTTTTCAATTATATTCATGAAATTATACAGAAATTCGATATATACAAAGGATTCCATACATATCATGTGTTAGATCAAATTTCGTACATCATCATCTTTCAAGCCCCAAATTAATTATTGACTTATCTATAAACTAAATTCTTAAATTAATAATCTTAGATCTCTTGGATCATTAATAGAATCTCTATTGATGATTGATAAGTAAAACGAATGAATAAATCAATATTAAATAATATAAAACTATTTGTTTATATCATACTAGTAGAATTAATTGAGTATGTTAATTCAAGGTAGCTAGGAACATTAATATGATTATTTACTTTACCAGTTTTTGGCTCTATATTTTGAGATATAACCAAGAAAATATGGGACATAGAATTCGAAGTGTTCATTATTATGCTTTGTTTAATACCCCATAATTATGGTACGTAACTAGTTCATTTCTGTTCTCTCATTTTTCCTCGTGAGATATTTATGATAATTTCAAATTCTACCTACTCTCCGTTAGCACAACATAAATTTTGTGTAATTAAAACAGTTGTTGAAGTAAATAATTGTTACAAATAACTATCTATAATGTTTTTTTAATCATACAAATTTTGTACTTTATAGTGTGTGTGTCTTTTAAAAAAAAAAATCATAAAAAAAATTGTGAGTTATTCTAACTATTTGGCGTACTGGCGGACCAACCTCTCATATTTTTTGAAACAAATAATCATATTTAACGATATTCGATTTGACATCCATATTGCATATATAAATAAATAATAATATCATCTATATCTAAAAATAAAATTAATTTTATTATCAACTCAATTTAAAATACATCAAATAACAATATAAATTATTTTATAAGAATAATAAAAATATAATTCTTATACACCATAAAATAATTATTTTATTGTTTTTTCTCCATAAATGTTTGAAAAAAATAAATTTTAAGTAATAATATCAAATATTATTTCTCAATTTAAATATATTATATAAAAAATTGAATGTTATTATGTTATTTAAAATAGTAAATATATAAGAATATCATAATTAAATATAATAAAATAATATATATTTCATAAAGTAAGAAAATGATACATTTCTACGTAAATTCTAAATTATTAATTATATGAATTTAAAATACTTAAAAAATTAATAGATGTGGGACAATGACTCTATAGATAGAAAATATAATCACAATACAATAAAACTTGTTTTTTCTTTAAAAAAAATTAAATATATGGAGTTGTAAATAATATCAATTTTATACATATATAATTTTAAAAATATAATTAAAAAATATCTTTTTTGACAAATTTAGTTTAGAAATACGAGCAACGTTTGAATTAATTATCACATTGTTAGTTATTTATTATTCTTGCATATTCATCATACAAAATTTTACAATAAAAATATAAATTATTCTAATTTTTATTGTACAGATATTAATATATTTAAGTACCCTTATAGTACACGGTATTATACTAGTTTCCACTAAATGGTGACCAATGAGCTAAAAGCTACAAGTTATAATAAAAGCGTTACTAAAATTGGCTAAAATACAATTTTGAATAACCTTGTTTTAGACTCTACTTGATAACATAAATAATAATAATAAAAATAATAATTAAAAACTTGAGGTTTTTAAAATAATTTGTCCGCTAATTTAAATAAAAAAAATATAAGAGGCTAAAAACTGAAAATTTAACATAGTTTACTAAGCATAATCTAAATCAATTGTGCATTACCTCAATCTACATTACGTAAATATATACACTGATGCTGTAAATTCCAACTGTCATTAATATGACTAGTATGAGGGTAAGAGATATTCATTAATATTTATAAATTAAATTTTTTTATTAAATAATGTTTATAAATTAAAAATATGGAATCAATATGTAATACAATTTATTGAAAATGTTAATAAAGTTTAAATTGTGCAAAATTATATAAAAATATTTATTTAGAATTAATATACAACTTGTGCGGTTCACATAACTGATAATAAGTTATACATATTCGTTTCAAAATAAGTATCATTTCAAAATTGTATTCAAAAAATTGATTTGACTATATGTGATTCCATAAAATAGTTATTTTGGTAAAATGTTATCATATATTTAACAACCTATGTGAATAATAAGTATAAATATAAAATTTATA